ATCACAAAAATAGGCATCATCTTGAACACAATACCATGCAGCATTTGCATCGCATTCACTACAAAATTCTTTTTGCTGTTTCGACGACATGTGAATGTAAAAAGAAACAATAACTGAGATATAGCAAAAATAAGTGTATAGTATGTAATGTAAGATTTCTTTTTCTTTTTTCTTTTTCTTTTTACGCCCATAATAATCATTCTGATTCTAAATTTATATTTTCTTTCTTCTCGGCTTTAAAACTCATAGAGTTTCTCTAACAGAATTCTACACGTTGCTTACACAGAATATCAAAAAAGGTGATAATACTGCTTTAATGAAATGATTTATCTTTTTGAAGTTAAAAACAGAAAAATTATTCACATACACTTTTTATTTATAGTACTTTGGCTATTTTAATTGTTATTTAAACTGAAAACATAATAGATTATATAAACTATCATGAAGAATTTCAGTAGAACATTAAGAATTATGAAAATCTCTTTATATGTAAACTTCAAATACAAAGAAATGCATGTGGATCGAGTTTCATTTTTTTTAACTTGGAAATTTCCTTTAGTGTAATGCGAAGTGTAAGAAAAAAGAAGCAACGATGTATTTTCGTCATTTATTCTTGCCTGTTCTATTTCTTTCTTCACTCCGCACGTGATGACATTTATATTGAGAAAGAACATTTATAAAAAGCAACAGAACAAATGAAAAAGTGAAATCAAAAGAATATTACAGCTTTTCTATTTAAACGAATTATCTTTATCAATATAAAAACAACAGTAGTTATTATGGAAAATTTACCAAATGAATTGTTTTTTCAAATCTTTAATTATTTACAACCTGAAGATTTGTTCAAAGCTTTTGGAAATCTTAATTCTCATTTTAGTGCACTTATACGATCTACTTTCATTCGTTTTTGTGTTACTGATGATAATGTTACTCTGCTTTCAATGATTAAAGCTGATCAAATAAAAAGTATGGTATGCAATGAAACCACTAACTTTCATCTACTCGTAAATTATTTCAAAAAGAATCATTTCATTCAACTTCAACGGCTTAATGTTACCCTGGTGCAGACTCAATCTATACGTACCCTTTTAGAATATCTACCTCAATTTAACAATCTAAAATTTCTGCGCATTGTTGATTATACTAATGAGCAAAACGAAAATTCTAAAAATTTTTATCATAGTATTGCTCAACTAATATTTACGAAACCCTATGTTATCCGCTTGAAATGTATTAAACTTTTTATACCTAACATGATACCATATTATGGACATATGTCTAGGCCTAATCCATTGTCAATACTGACATATTTTACCATTCATAGTATATTTCTCGATGATTTAGCCATAATTTTACCTTGGATGCCTAACATCAAGACTATCAAAATTCTTTACGCTTGCATCACAAATGATGATGACGGTGTTGGTAGTGGTGGTCTATTTCATGAACACGATCTGACATGTAGATCATTAATGCGCATGCCTCCTATTGTTTCTATACAAAGATTCGACATTGGTATTTGTGATGGCGTTACATGTAAAGTATGTTATTACTTCTTATTTTACTAAATCATTGTCATACGTGAAAACTTGACTTTATATCATCTAAATCTAAAAATATTTTTACGGAAGATTTCACGAACATATATATGCATATTAAGAAATAATTTATTTACTATCTATCTAAAATATTTTATAAATTATAGCATATGCAATTATTATTATCAAATCTTCCAGAGCTTCGTCGATTTAACTGTGTTATTTGGAGTGAACATGCATTGATTTTAGAGCAATGGATACCAATATTCCTACGAAGTAAAATCGATTGGTTACTTTTTACCATGATAACAATAGGGCGATTAAGATACAATTATTTATCAATTGAATTACAGAGCGATATATGGACTCGTGATATCTTTAACACTACCACTATTACAGAAGTATCAGGAGGTATCTGTTTAGAAGCACATGGTATGAATATATTAAGAAGATCGGCAGCGAATGAACTTGACAATGAGTCATCGAATGAACAACCAAGAAAAAAACAACGTACAAATTAATTATCTTTTGTATAATATCAATCGATTGATGTATCATCAACGATGTAAAAATAAAATAAAACGTAAATTGATTCGATTAGCTCAAATTTGTGTATAACCAAATTATTAATCATGATATAAACTACATTTTATACCTGTGTAAGAAATCAAAATCTGAATTATGTCAGGCCATTTCGATTTAACATATATAATACCAATATCAAGGGTGGGTGGGTGCAAGTAGTATTTATGTCTTAATGTGATCCACATTCACACCCTCCAAAAAATAACCGTATACCATATCCTGAGAAATATTCCCGAATGAAAATTTTTCTTTGCAACTAATAATCTGTTTCATTTCAAAATATTCGTACAGAAACTGTTGGATATCATCACTTTGTGAACTTGATATACTGTAGAATGCTAAAATTTTGAGACTAAAATTGTATAAAGTTTCGAAAATCCATCAAGTATATGGTGAGAACGCAAAGATGAACCGAAGTACATCAGTTGTCCACAAGAATATTGAAGTAGAATAGTATGATTTTTCTCCACCATGATGACGTACTTTGTGCATGCCTATTGAAATAAATAATACTAACGCCTCTCATTTTATGAAAAAAAAGTATCTTCGTAGATAACAATTTTACACAAATGTATTCATATAAACACAATGGACGCATCATACTCGCTTGCAGAATAGAAAGAATACACTCTACAATTGCATTGTATTACGCATGTAATCATAATAATAAACAATAATTATCTCTCTCCTTCTATAAATCAAAGCATAGGCTATTTTTATCATTGTTAAAAACGAAGTAATTTGCGTCATCATTTCTGCGTATCGAAAAATAAAACTTGTTTTCACTCAATATTTTCGCTTGACGCTTGATATATATATAAAGTCGAAGCACAACTGCTTGATCATACGATTTATTTTAGATCACAAACATTTTTTACACTAAACATTTAACATCCCCGACAAATTCATTAAGCAGAGTTATGTAGGATCTTAGAAGTATCAGTCTAAGATTATATCGATTACTTGAAAATAAATCTAGTATTCACATAATAACAAATCGATTTTCTCCTAGAAAATTATTCTTTAATGTCAGTTTTTCGTTGAAGAAATCTATTTAGTTGTTCTAATTTTTCATTGTTATACTGATTTTTTAAAGAGTTTATACTTAATGTTTACGCTAAATTAATCTGTTTGTAGATCACTTAAAATTTAAATCTATCTATCTTTATATATATAGATATCAATTATATTAATACAAAGCAAAATGGTACGTCATTTATTGTCTATGCTCACCATCATGGTTTGCTTATTCCTCAATTTTTATTCATTAATTGGTACTTCGAATACGGATTTTATTCTCGCTATATGTGCAAATCAAACATTAGTTCTCAATTATAATCCATCATTACCAGATGCAGCAAGTAGTCCAGTTAACATACAAATGCGAAATACGGGTAAATTCATATGTCAAGTAGGCTATAAGGGTATCAACATCAACGTCACTGTTCCATATAATATATTAACCAATTTATCAGATGCCACTTGTGAGAAAGCAACATTTACTGAATATATACTTTATGGTGGTGTCGATTTAACAAATTCACCGATAATATCACGTCTTTTCAACTTAACTGTAGATGCTAGTGATCCTTGCCACTCTCGTCCACTAAATACAACCCAAGTTTTTCATAGGATAATGAATCTTGAAGATAAAGTGCCTATTCTACCTGCAGATATCGTAACTTCTTTTGATGCAAACAAACACAATAGAAATTGCAAAACAATTTCAACTGAAACGATATTGTTTACAGCATATGCATACATACCTATATAACTAGAAAAGAAAAGAAAAGAAAAGAAATGAAATGAAATTCATTTTATCTAACAGAATTAAAAATGAATGAAGTTTTTATCTAGCTATATTGTCTAACAACTTTCTTCTTTCTTTCAATTTAATCTAAGTTTGTTAATATCTGACAATTTTTTTTGTATCATACTTTTCATTTTTAATGGTTAATAAATAATCAAGTATATTTGAAATATACGACTGTTTCTATAAATATCAATGTAACATCTAAAAAAATTTGACTATCAGTTATATAATAGCGGTGCATAAACAAATTGACTTATCTATATAGAAAATCAAACTTTTTAAAATCAATGTATTTATTCATAAATATCGATTAGTTCTTTTATTATTTCAGAATATATATTGTCATGTTTGTAAGTTTTTTTCAATCAAAATAAAAGACTATATGTATACTTATTCTTGTATCAATTGTTTTTTAAAAATTTTCTTTTAACAACATGTCTGTTGGTCGATAAGTTTTTGATAATATTAAGATCTTAATTTGAAATTTATATGCTCAGCAGATCTGATACTATTAAGTTTACATTATTATTCATATTCATACAAAACTGTTAGATACATTATATCTTGAGTAATAAAAACAACAAACAGTTATCAGAGTACTAAGTAAAAACCTCATGAATAATTGTTTTGTCTCATAACTATATGATGGCTTCGAATACATCTTAGTTGTCACATAATTTGCTGTACAATGAAGGAGATATTTTTAGATTAGTTATTATTTTCACTACTTTGGATTAATAAGTAAGTTATATATATATATCAATTCTACAAGTGCCGATTTGTTTCTAAGTGCATATTTAATTACAATTCAAAATATACATTGTTTTTCTATAACATCATCTGATGTTATATGTCTTTTTACTCATTTATTTGCGCAATATTTTTTTCCAAAGTAAGATGGCTTCGCGTGATAATATTGTGCTTCACTTGACACTGTGCAGCAACGAAATTAAATATAAAACATCAATGCATTATAAATCAAGAACAGAGAATACATAAAAGTCAGGAAAATAGTACCCATATAATTAGATCTGAGAATGTTCAAAATCGTAAGATTTTCCTGGAAACAGTAATATAAAATCGATCTTTCTGCTGATTTTTTAATCAACTTGGAATGTAGTAGAGATTTTGTATTCATCGTGAAAAGATATGTAGTCATTAAACTCTCAGATTCCATCGATATTATACAATTTCTAGATTAGACATATGTACAAAGATTTTTGATATTATTTTGAATTTATACAATCAAGAATATATTATGAAAAAGTAGTTTACATTGACAATACAGATTACATTACAGGGTTAGGTCTTGTCATATAAAAATTCGATCCATGTTGAATATTGGTATACAAAAAGCATTTATAATTGACAACTGATCGTACAACAAAAAAAGCACATAGATATAAGCAAATTGTTATAATATAATGAATGAATTTTTCCATTATTTTCATATTTTGGTTTTGTTATTGTTTGGTAATACTTAATTGTTCAGTTGCTACGACAGAACTTTTTTCTTTTTCGTTTCGTTTCAACAAATGATTAATTGGTTTCATGAGTCGTGGCCAGAGTTCTTTGTGTAAACCGAGAAGGCAGGCGAACGGCATAATTATTGGCATGATGTAACAAAGAAAGAGACTAATTGAATTGCCATAACCAAATATTATTGATTCATCCATATTTTTTAAATAATTTATAGTACATGTAATGGCATAAGGCATTTCAAGAACTATGAAGAGAACGGTAATGACAAGTACTTGAGTGGTCAGTTTATTTAAACGACGCCATTCGACAGTTCCTTTTGCGCGCTTTCGTTGATAAATAACACGGAGCCATAAGGCCAAACTAAAAACTATTGCAATAATAGCAGCAGTCAATTGATTAACCATTAAATACCAAGTTGCCATAAATGGAACCGCATTAAGACAACTTGCATCGCAGAAAACGACATTGAAGTTGTAGCTTGTAAAACATGTTGGTGTAAGAAAACAAGCAGCATTAAATCCGATCAGATAAACAAGAAGAAGTGCCAAAGGAACATAGTGAAATAATATTTGATAACGAGGTCGTTTCATTAAATTGCTGTGATAAATAAGAATATGTCTTTCGATAGCTGCCCAGGCTAGAAAAACATCATTAGCATTGCAACCTGTATAGGCAGTAAAACGCCAAATACTACAGGCAATAATAGAACGAGGCCAAACAGAACCTGTACGAAAGAGATTGATGGAAAATGGTGCATGAATTAAATTGAA